ATGTTGGAATCTCACTAAAGTTTGTAAGTTGTGCTACTGCCCTCAGAAAACCTATCTTGCTAAATTTTTAGCGAGTTCCTAAACTAATATTAAGCACAAATGTTATCCTTCTCTGTGTGTTGGGAGGGTTTGGTAGGTTTTTTTTATTTTTTTTTTGAGGGTTGTGTGTTTGTTTGTTTAGGCATTTGGGGTTTTTTAGTGGATTTTGGTGTTGGTGTTTGCTTTTCTTTTTTGCAATTTTTAATGTTTTCTAGCTAAAAGGTGTCTGATAAAGTAGCAAGAAAAAAGATTAGACTTGCTACTAATGGAAAAGAGATGGAATGCAGCAAGAAAAAGTGTTTGTTTCTCAACTGTGTAAGAGGAAAAACAAAAGGGGTTTTTGTTGCTCTCTTACCCTTTGCAGGCTTAAAGCTAAATCTCATCTATGCTATGTGGTGGATAAATATTCCTGAATAGTTTTGTTAGAAAGACTTTTGCCATATGTCACCTCAGGTTTCTTGAAACTAAACTTTTAAAGTGAGAGAGTTCTATACATTGTGTCTTACCTGCTTCGGTTTTGTTTGTTTTAATTTATCAGCTTGAGCATGAAGAATATCTTGTGTTTCTTACCTGCCTTGTAGGACTGGCTTCTCTTAAAATTATTTGCATGTTAGCTAACTACAATGTGTATAGGTTCAAAGTGGATAGAATCTTTTTTCTTCAAAGGAGCTCTGTGAAAATAGTGCGTGTATCTGATTTAATGGTCTTCCGTAGACTAGTGCTTAAAATATCTAAGTATTGTGTTTTAAAGCTGAGCAAAGAACAGGAGGAAAGCTCTGAGTATTAATTAGCTTTTTTTTCCTGTTACGCTGTTCTTTTCTTCTCATCCCCATCATTCACTGCTACCTTAGGTGACTTTTTTCCATTTTTAAGAAGCCCATTGTTACCTGCATCACTGTAATATTTGTCTGCTGGCACCTGGTTTTGGATGATTACCAAAGCCTAAGTAAAAACCTGTTGCATTTCAGAGACGTACAAGTCCTCTATTTCTTTGTAAATATTACATTAGGTACAAGTGAGTAGAGTGCTGCTATAGAAGGGCAAGCAAATCCTTTTCTTCTAAAGGATGGAGAATTCTGTGTCTAAATTTTGAAGAGGACCATTAACTCTTATTCTCTCAAAGTGTTGGAGCAGAACTCTTTTAAAGATATTGGTATAATTGGTTTTACAGCTATGCTTTTATTTTAGAAAACAAGTCTTTTCATTCTCCCAATAGCTCATGGAAATGCATCTTACAAATAATAGATTTTGTGCTAATAAAATTAAAGATGTTTATAAAAAAAGTTAATTTTGAGTATTTGGATTTTCTTTGCAGGTCACTGATGAGCTGTTGGAAAAGATAGCATCAAGAAGCCAGAATATTACAGAAATCAATATTTCTGATTGTCGCAATGTGTCTGATACAGGAGTATGCATATTAGCAATTAAATGTCCTGGACTCCTAAGGTATACTGCCTACAGGTGTAAACAGCTTTCTGACACCTCTATTATTGCAGTTGCCTCTCAGTGTCCTCTTCTTCAGAAAGTGCATGTAGGCAATCAAGACAGACTCACTGATGAAGGCCTAAAGCAGGTAACAATCCATTCCACAAATTTCTTTTGTAAATTTAGTATCTTTCAACTTCTTGTGAAGTACAGAAAGGGACATGGAATAAGGTACCCACTTCTGAGATTTAATTAAAATCAGATGACCTCTTTTACTTCAAAAACAGGTTTATGGAAATATTTTCTTTAGAGACTGTACTTTCTCTATATATCTATACTTATATAACTACTTATATGTCCAATAAATAACTTGGTTCTTATGTGCTGCTCTTAGGTCTGTTTTGTTGACTGTAGCTAGCAACTTCGTTTTATCATGTGTGTAATGATAATCTTTCTTGTTTATGTATAGTACTTAGAAAACCTGTAAAGATAATTTTTAAGGCAGGGCTGAGAAACAGAAAGAAATCTTAACTCCCAACTCTCTAGTTTAGTCAAATCCTGTTGGTCTTTTTCCTTTATTCTTAAATACTTGCTTTGGTTTCATTAATTGCAGCTGGGTTCAAAATGCAGAGAATTGAAGGACATTCATTTTGGGCAATGTTACAAGATCTCAGATGAAGGAATGATCATTATAGCTAAAGGTTGTCTGAAGCTGCAAAGAATATACATGCAAGAAAACAAATTAGTAAGTACATGTAATGATTTTTTTTTTCCACAACCTTTTCATTATCAGAGCTTTCTCTTGCTTTGTGTCTGTTTAAAACTTTCTTCTGAATAGCTGCTTTTTGGCAGTACAGTACTGAAAAATGTTCTCTAGCTGTGAAAATTTAGCTTCTACATAGATAGCTCAAAAGATGACTTAAAGTACAAGTTAAGCTGATGCTATTCCAGCTACATTCCAGGAGTAATTGTTTGGGAGATGCCTGATTTGGGTAGGAAAATACTTAGTCTATACGGAATGTTTCTTTTGTTTGTACCAGTATGTTTTTCTCCTTCTAAAAAGTGCAAACTTATTTAAACTAAAAGATTTTTGGAGGTTGGGTTCTTGACTCCAAATAATAAACTCTGATAATCTTTTCATGAAATACGTTGCTTTCTCATCAGGATGCAGTAGAGTAGCATGCCTGTACCTGGTAGAAGGAAGCTGTTGAGGAGTAATAAAACTATCTTACGACCCAAGTATAAGCAGTCTCTGAAGTGATGGTTTCTAATATGGAAAGCCAGTATCTACTAAATGGTATAGTAGAGCACTGACTTTGACTTTTTTGTTTGTTATTTTTTCTTGCAAGTAGAAAAATTTGCTTGCAGTTGAATTCTTAATTATCAGCTAATGTCAGGGTTATAACCTTTAGTTTGAAAACTATTGAACTGGAACAAATAAATTGCATTTGTAAGAAAACAGCATACCTTGTACTCAGAGTTGTTTGACACTTGGCTTTAAATAGACAAACAGATACTAATGCCTAAAATGGTTCATTTGAGAATGGTTTCTACTTTAAAAAAAACCCCAAAACATTTAGTGGTTTTGATCAGAATCATAGGAAGTTGGCTAAAACTGAGTTCTCAGAATAGTTCAAATGGAGAAAAAAAGAGTGTCCTCCTCCCCTATCAAAACAAAATCTTCAGTACTGTCAAAATTAATCCTTGTAATACTTATCTTAATACATAGAAAATCTTCTAATTAAAAAAAAAAGAAAGGGAAATGCAAGTTCCAAGAAGCCTGGAAGGAAATCATACTCCTGCAAAAATTAACTGGAGAAAGGTAGGGAAATTCTAAGTATCATTTATCCTTGAATGAGAGAGGAGAAACTTGTTGTGCATATTCAAGGTTTGCATAATTATAGATGAAAGATGACTTAATTGTACATGAAGATTACTGTATGTACAAATACCTACATAAATGCATGATCATTGGAAAAATATGTGGTTAAGGTGTTATTTTGGCCTTCCTTACCCTTCTTGCCATTGAAGTTTTTATTCTCTTTATAGTCTGAAATGTAGCCTAAGAAGTTGACATCACAATTGTTGGCACTTAAAAGTTCTGTGGTTTTTTTATCTGAAATGTCATCTAAGTTCTCAGTTGAAATGGGACGTAGGAAATTTCTTGTTTTTAGCACAATCAGGAAAGATGTTCTTCACCTGCACTTTATTTGCTTGCCTTCATTATTGGAAATGTAACAATATTTCATTGGAAACAAGACAAAAATATGTACTCTCAAGTGAATAGGAAACTTAATTATTTCATCACTTCTAAAAATTTGAGATGAATTATCAAAAATAACTCTTTGCACAATTTTTCATGAATGTGGCTTTTTTTAATGTCTAATTTTATTTAAGGCTGCTGCCCAATCTTAATTTTCAGGGAAAAATAAACTTATGGCAAAGTTGGTTTAGCTTTGTCAAGTCCAAATTCAGCTTCTTAAATCTTGGTCTAGAAATGTTAACAAGAAAGAAGTTGTAACACAGTTGTGAACTCCAGGGTGTTGAATCTTTAGAATAAAATAACACTTTAGTGATTCCACTAGGTGATAAAGCAACAGCAGCTGATGTGTTTTTCCCCTTGTTAGGGGCAAGAGACTTCTGAATCTTGCTAGAAGTGTAATTTTGCGTGATGAACAACAACTTAGAAGAAGTTCTGATGCAGTAGTGAAATGCAAATTCTCACCTTCCAAAATAAAAAAAAATAGGAATTGTTTAATGCTACAGAGTTAGCTTAAAAGGGAGTAATGGTTGGTGGCAAATGATAATCCACTGTTTGATTTGTCAAATTCTGTAGGTTACTTTTGTTTTTAAGATTGCCTTCTAAAATAAACCCACTGTTAATGTCTGCTGTGGCACACCTTCCTACTCTTTGGTGAAGAAGGTGGTTTGGGGAAATGTGTGTGTGTGTGTTTGTTTTCAAAATAAGTAAATATTAATTCTCTGAAATCAAAATATTCTGTGGCAAGGAAAATACACTTGACATGAGGGCTTGGTTTGTGTATTTGAGCTTCATGGATTGTCAGTCTGCTATAGGAAGAAGACTCCTCCCCCCCCGCCTCCCCTTTTTAAAGCTTCCATGTAAATACTGTGCACCGAGTTTGTGTGTTTTGTTTTTTATTTTCTTGATTCTTCCTTTTTCGGAGATGCTCAAAATCATGTGACTCTTATAGGCAATTTCTATTAATTTCAAAATGTGTAGTCCATTATAGATGGTACACGATGGCTGGTTTTTCGTGTAGACTTGTCTCGGACTAATGGATTTTATACTTCAAAAATACATCTATACAGAGGAAACCAGCAGCTAAATAATGCCTTTGTGAGTTACTTTACAGTGAAATGGGGATCAGTTCAGTTGCTTCATCTGTTGCTAAGTAACTCCATTATCAGGCTGCTGGGCAGAAACAGAGAAAGAAGAATTTATATTCTGATTGTTTAATATACTAAGCATTTCACAGAAAAATAGACCCTTTCCTTTCTTTGAAATGCTGATTATGTCATAGTAATAAGTCGAAGCTGCAAAAAAAAATAAATGGGTGCAATGGATGTGTGAGGGAAGAGTTAACATTGCAAGGCTAACTTAACACAAGTTGGTTGTTGTTTGCATAACTGTTCGTGATTTGTATCTTTTCAAAATATGTTTATTTTTCTTCTGTCCTTTGAATGGAAGAGTAATTTATATGCAAAGTCTCTTTTCTGAAGCATACTGGCCAAATAGGGAACCTATTTGGGGACACACACACCCCCCAAACTAAAGTTGCAGGAGTTATGAAGTGTGCCAGTATGTTGTCTTTCCTTATCTGTTCCCAGGCAGTCTGATACAATCAAACAATCTCACAGAAATTCGCTGTAAGTTGAAGAACAGATTATAACTCTTCCCAGACAAAACTAGGAGATTTTCTAGCTGCTTGGCTGAGTTTAGTTGGACTTCCTATTTTATGGTCATTGCTGGAATTGAATGCTATGAGTAGAACTGTTATGTTTGCCTTATATGAGTGGTTAATGTGAGTGAAGCTGGTGGAAGATGAATTGGCTGATTTCACTCTTAACTTTCTACCAACCCCTTTTTTGACTTTCCACCCCAGATAGGCAGTACACAGCTTCAGCTGAAAAATCAGGACTGCTTCACCCTACCACGCAGTACTCTCACTGAGATGTGGAGTGCAGCTGTACTTAACCTGAATTGTCAAGGAAAATTAACACTTTTCATTGCAGCCTTCTCAGAAGAATGGAGCCCTAAACGGTTTTGCGACTTCTTTGTAGAGAGATGCAGAATAACTTTGTGACTACAGTGCACCCAAAGGGAAGGGTTGCCCCCAGACGAAATTTTGCACCAGCAGTGTAAACTCTCCATTTCCTCCTTATGAATGGAGGAGGCCTAGGTGTGGGAGTTCCATTTTAGAGCTGGGAGAACCCTTTTCCACTTGACTGTGATGCTTTTACACACTAATTTCTTTGTCATTGCCTTTCCTTAACTGAGTGACTTTATGGCTAAAATTATAATACAATGGTTGCTGAACTTAGCAGGTGGGAGTTACAGATTTATACCTCCCTATTCCACCCAGTGTGTGTGGTTTTTTCATGGTCAATTAGATGTGGATGAAGAGAAGTCACTTCTAAAGATGAAGGGAGATGGACTTTTAGATACTATAACAGGATGACAGCATTCCTACCTCAATGCTTTCTTACTTTCCTCTCTTTTTTACAAGCTCGTTTGTGGGTAGATGGGAAATAATACTGCAATTAAGCTACTACAGTTGGAATGCTGGCAGCATTTCTCTCTTTCCAATAAAATGATCTTGTAAAGTAGATGGCTTAAAGACAAGTATTTGTCTGATGGTTCCCAGATATGATTCTATTCTATGATTAAGGTAGTTATGGTCTAACCTGACCACGTTTCTAGTTCCTTGTATGTCTTTCAACTCTATCCAGGAACAGTGTCTGCTGTGAGCAGGGGACATTTCAAGGTAACAACATTTTAGCCCAAGTGGCAGTGTGTTTGATAATCTTTTTTCATGCTTGATGTGTGAGAACTTCTACAGTAAATATTTTAGAGATAATTATTTAATGATGCTTTTAAAGATGAGTATTCTGGTAGTATTCTGCCCAACTTTGCAGTTTGTAGCAGGTAATACAGAGTAGAAATTTGTTAACTGTGGCACTATGTTTGATAGAAACTATAATACTTAAGATATGTGAATAACAAACAGTTTTCATTTTGGAAAAAAAGCATGTCAGTTTTAGGTCATATAATTAAATAGTTAATATACCCTTTTAAAGCATTGACTGGAATCAACTTAGTATAAAAATCTGTAGGACAAAATAAACTTCATTTTCATATTTTCTGAATAATCACAGTATAGTGATTTATTTATCCTTATGTGTTTTACTGAGACCGCCCACCTCTTGACTTTGGAAAGCAGTTCTCTTTCTTCTTCATCCGTGTCAGCTACAAAACACTTCAGCAGTGTGCCCAAAGGCCTTTGTGCACGACACAGGGCAGACGTGGAGAGTAGAGAGCACTTTGCTTTGAGTTTAGTCCAGGCAAATTGTTTGAGGAGAAGAGTCAGTGTTATGAGGGATACGAAACTCACCTCATCTGATGATGTGAACTACTGGTGTTTAGAATGTGTTGAAATAAAGTACTTTTTCACTGGTAACAAGTAAAGGAAAGAGACTTTGGGGGACAAATATTCATAAAGACTG